TCTTAGTAATAGAACTATTAAGTAATCCTACTAGGAAATCTCATTGTAAACCGACTAGGACTCTGGCCTCCTGACTATATAAAGGAGGGCAGGGCTCCTGAAAGAAAGAGAACAATGGTACGACATAACACTTCATAATCAATCCAACGCAAAAGGCAAGACGCCGACTGGACGTAGGGTCGTTACTCGATCTACGATCGAGGGCCTGAACCAGGATAAATCGACTGTCTCTTGCGTTTACCATCGAGATCAGCATACGCCGAAGCCCGAACGATACTGCCACGGTACCCCTGTGGCAGGCTATCGATGGTTAAACATCGACAGGGCTACGAGTGGTACTGATCAGTTGCTCCAAAGAAACATGCAGCCTGTTCAGCAGCCTGTATTCGGCTTATAAGCCTTGGCTTATCAGCCAACGAACAATATTTTTCTCTCACGCCAAATCAGTTAGCAGTACTTTCAGCCATGACTTATAAGCCAATCCAGCCGAAACGAACAGGCTGATGATTCAGCAGCAGCAGATGTATGTTGACCATGGGGTTAGTGCACCGTTTGGCCACCTGAAATCAATTGCACTCATATTGCTCTACCAAACGGGCTCTATGCCACCTAAAATCAATTGCACTCATATTGCTCTTATTCCAAAGGTTAGTGCACCGTTACGCCTAAAGATTATAGGCCGATTAGTCTCTGTAATGTGGCTTATAAAATTATTGCTAAAACTCTTGCGGATAGAATTAAAAACCATTTACCTCACATAATTCATCCTTCACAAGCTGCTTTTGTCCAAGGTAGACAAATTGCTTCCAACATCATTATTGCTCAGGAAATCATCCATAGTTTCAACCTTAAGAGGTGGAATCAAAAGGCTTTTTTCCCCTCAAATTAGATTTAGCCAAAGCTTTTGATAGGATTGAATGGTCCTTCATTGTTAAAACCCTCAGAAGACAAGGATTTAATGAACATTTCATTGATTTAGTCTACAATTGCATTTCTACTACAACTCTCTCGGTTATTATTAATGGCAAGCCTACCCCCTCGTTTCATCCTCTACGTGGTGTCAGACAGGGCTGCCCACTTTCCCCTTATCTTTTCATTATTGCTATCAATGAACTTTCTATTTGTTTACAGCATCACTCTGACATGCACAACATTCATGGGGTTACTCTTGGTCCTGATTGTCCTCACATTCACTCTCTTCTCTTTGCTGATGTTTTGATTATTTGCGGCCAAGCCAATCATGAGGAGGCTATGAAGATCAACTCTATTCTCCAATCTTTCTGTAGAGCCTCTGGTCAAACCCCTAATTTGGCTAAGTCTTCCATCATGTTCAGCAAGAATGTAGATGAACAGAGCAAGCGGGCTGTCGAGAACATTTTCCGGTCTCTGATCTTACCCCTAATTCCATCTACCTTGGGCCATCCACTCATATTTAATCATAGTGACAGGGCCAAAGCCTATGAGTTCATACTCAACAAATTCAAAGCCAAGCTTACTACTATCAAAGCCAATAAGCTTAATCATGCTGGCCGCCTTACCTACATCAACTCGGTGCTGGCCTCCATCCCAATTTATTACATGTCCACCATTTTATTTTCCAAAACCTTCACCTCCAAAATCACTTCCATTATCAGGAATTTTTGGTGGGCTGGTGTCCAGGAAGACAATTCTTCTTCTCCTTTCCATTTCAGATCCTGGAACGATATATGCATGGCTAAGAAGGATGGGGGTCTCGGTGTCAGAGATTTGTTTACGGTCAACCGCAATCTTATTCTTCATGCTGCTTGGAATATTGCTACTGGTAAGAACCCTTTCCTTTCGAAGATTCTCAAAGCCAAATATTTTCCGACCACTAGTTTCTGGCTTGCTGGCAATCCCTCCACTAAATCTGCGTTTTGGTCCTCTATTACCCAAATAAAAAATGTTTTGGTCAATAATTGCACTATCCAGATTCACAATGGGGACTCCAGTGTCTGGTCCGCTCCTTGGTGCCACGTTTGGAAGGATATTCACAGCCACCTCAAGTTTCCTATCACTGTCCCCAATCTTCCTCAGACCATTTCTGATCTTTGGCTTCCTAATACTCATTCCTGGAATAGGGATCTCATTTATGAGATTTTTTATCAGCATGCTGCCAACACTATCTGCTCTATCACATCTGTGCCTTCTGACAGCTTGGATGTCGTCAAATGGAAGCCTTCGGCTAAAGGTGCATGCTCTGCTAAATAAGCTTTCAAGCTTCTTAATTCTCAATTGCAGGTACAGCTTCCGACCCAGGGTGCTAGGAGTGTCACCAATGAAGGTATGGATTTTCTCAAGAAAGTGTGGGCTCACAAATCCTTGCCACCTAGCATAAAGACTTTTACTTGGAGACTTATTAGAAGAGCAATTGCAACGGGAGCCAGAGCTGGCAAACTTTCTGCTAAGATAAGCAAATACTGTAATACCTGCAACATGCTTGAAAATGACTCCCATCTGTTCTTTCATTGCACTTTTGCAAGGGCGGTTTGGTTCTCCTCCAAAACGCATTTGCGCACTTCTATTCTTCCTTTGGAACAGGATGGCGTACAGGAAATTATGTCCATCATTATTAGCAGGAACATCACGGATGAAGACCTCCAGAGAATCTTGATCACTCTATGGTACATTTGGAAGGCCAGGAATGATTTTCGGTTCCATAGGAAAAAGTGGTCTGTTTTGCAGGTTCACCATGCGGTCGAGGCAGACATCAAACTTGCATCACAATGTTTGGAGAAAGAGAACAAAGAAACAAATGAAATGAGCTCTCACCTTAATCACAATGCCCAGTCTGGGCAAAGATTTATATCTTCTTTTGCAGGACAACATCGCCAACATCAGATCAGGTTGGGTCTGCCCAGCAATCAAACCAATTGCAGATATCCCTCCCTGCTTTCTGGTGCAAGAAGCTACTCAGATGCTTCTACCTCTCCAGATTCGGCATGCTCCTCTACAAGAAAAGCTGGTCTAGGTGTCTTCATCCTAGACCCCAGCAGGCGGTGCAAACTATATGTCAAGGCTCAGCTCCAACAAGGCTCTTCTGTTCTAATGGCTGAAGCTGCTAGCCTCACCCTGGCAGCTCAGATCACATCCTTGCTACGGCTGGAAGATATAACTTTCCTCACTGATAGTCAGTTGATGATGAACTTCTTCAATGGCTCAGATCTCAGCTCACCACCACACTGGGATATAAAGCCATTCACTCAAAAGATTTATAAATGCGGCGGCCGACACTAATGTTCAAGTGCTCAAGATTGATAGGAGTCTCAATGTAACAGCGCATATTCTAGCCCATCAGGCTTTCAGAAGCACAGAAAATGAATGTACTCCACCTAGCTTCAGTTGTACCAATGCTGATCATACTAGCAGATGCCCTATCCTGATGGCACTGCAGTCTGTACTTTGGGAACCATTCCACTTGATTGCAGCTTCTTGCTGCTAATAATAAAGTTTGCAGATTGTCAAAAAAAAAAAACTCATTCTTCATGCATATACTAATTATTAGCTTGTGAGGAATGATGTGGTGATGGATCAACTCATTCCATTCCACAAACCAAATACAAAAAGTGAGGAGTGAGAAAATGATGGACCACCTCAAACCAAACACACCCTTACCCAAGTTGTGGAGTTATTTGATCCATTCAGAGGTAGCTGGGATCAGGATATGGTATGTGATATGTTTTGGGGGGAGGATGCAAAAATAATTTTGGCTCTACCAGTGCATGAAGATCGACCAAATAAGCTACCTTGGAACTTTGACCCAAAGGGACTTTTCAGCGTGCGGAGCGCTTACAAAGTTTGTCGGGCAGACCATGCGAGATCGAAACGGATGTGGCGGCCAGAGCAGTGGAGGCATGACAGATGTGTCCGAACGAAATCAAGCATTTTCTTTGGAGACTTGCCTTGAACAGGCACCCTTTGAGAAAGACTTAGGTGCAAAGAAGGATGAAGATTGATCCCATTTTTCCTGTCTGCGGTATACATGATGAGGATGGGGGTCACCTGTTCTTCAAATGCAAGATGGTCAAGCAGGCGTGGAGCCTGTTCAATCCAGATAGGGAATGTTCGGTGATGGCAAGAATGAACTCAGCAAAAGGGATCATTCATGTCGGTGTCTGATGACTGACAACACATTACGATTGACGTCATCAGCGTCTTATTGCTTTCATGGCAGACGAATACATAAAACTCCCCTCAATGCACGGCTATATCTAGGATGTTTGGTTTGAGAAACCACTCCATCCTAAATAAGGTGGTGCGTTATTAGTTAATTCCTCAAATTTGGTGGAATAGCTCTATTCCTCATACTAGTATTAATTATTGACTTATGAGGAATGAGATGATGATGCATCATCCTATTCCATTCCACGAACCAAACAAATAAAGTGAGGAATGAGTAGATGGACTAACTCATTTTCCAAACCACAAACACCCACATCATGTCCCCTTTCGTCCAAAATTAACTAGGGGCAAAATTAGAACACTAATGGATATTACAAGAGAGCTGAAACCATAATACAATTAGGTTAACCATAATCGAAAAACTTCACATCTTTCGGATTTCCAGCACCGAATGTTTTGTACATGCAAACTATTTCTGAGACAAACAAATAGCTCATATATTGATTACCATGAAATTGACTAATCAAGAAAACAATTAGTGGACAATAAGCCATCCTGCCATCCTTATGAATGAAAGAATCTAAAAGGAGAACGGTCACTGGAAGCTGTCTATAAAAAAGTAAATCAATGGTGACTCCAGTTTAGTCTAGGGTCATTCTGAGGCGACACTTGAATGCTTTATCTATTCAGGCCTAATTTACCTAATTGTTACTTCATTTCATCCTATAGAATGCGCTTACTGTCTCAGGTTCTTGCTGCTATCAGCTGCAGAATACCTTTTCATTGCTGTTAGTTTCTGTCCATCTGGCAGTTTAGCCTTCTTTGGCAGCATCTCAAGTGTGACCTCATCGACACAGGAACTACTGCAGACTCGATTTTTCAGACTCCTTTGCGATCTCAACTCCAAGTAATCTTACATGGGAATTACTGGAGCATTTAAGCACTGCTGACTTCGTGGAATCTGAAGGGAGTTCTTTCGCTGGAGAAGCAGCCTTTGATAACCAGTAGTCTAAACACTGGTGATGGGGATCTAGAGCCTCGATTTCCTAATGAAGAATAAGTGAATTTCTTTGTTAGATTATAGTTCCTGGTACTAAAAGTTACCAACTTTCAAAAGAAATGTTCTCGATCTCACTAAAACTATACCTGAATGATTTGTGGGGACAAGAACCCAAACATTTCAAGCCCATTTACAGAATCAGGTGGTAAAAAATTAGGAACGCCACATTTTCCAATTCTTTGTAGGTTTTCTATTTGTTCATTGACCTTGTCTCTAACAATATCCCAACAACTCATTGGTGAGGTGTGAGTGAAAGAGACATCAGGAACCTGCTCTAAGGTCACCTGTAATTAATTCAGCAAGAAATCTTTACTATGATCCACAAGAAATCAAAGAGAGTTCCACCATGAAAATAGAAGAACATGAGAAACACATTTATACCTTAAACAATGGTCCAAGAGGTCCAGCATCCAGGACTTCTGAAACATAAAAGCACTGCGCTATCGGATCTTGTATATTGTAAAATGTAACTCGACTTCTGAAACCTGCAATGACATTATTTACTCTACTTGCCACAATTCTAGAGGACCATTTTATTCATCCCAAATGCAAATTGCACTCGTTTATTACCTTTAGGAAAAATAGCTTGATTATTGAACCACTTTTTGCCAATCATTACCATTCCATAGTCTAGTGGCTCAACCTGGTGCCTTGATGTTGGCCTAGACGCTGCATCAAATCGCCCTGAAGCCATTACCATTTGACCAACTTGACCATCAGAATGCTTTGCCAAATTTCCAATGTCAACACCAAATAGTTCCTTAGTAGTCTTGCAAGCTACGTCAGAATTGCTAGCTTGATTTCTTGAAGGAAAGAGTAAGTTGGCTGAACAATTTAAAGACAATGAAGAACTGCACTCAGAGGTCATTCTAAATGGACTGTCAGTTTTCTGTAGAGGCCTATGATCAAGAACCATCCTATCCTTGCCATGCTCTTCTTTTATTCTGGAACTGCATGGTGGATCCTCTATGTTAAGATTAAGACAATTATTCTGGATTCCTTTTTCTTGCTGGAATCCTGCTGGCTTTTGAAGGTCATGGCAGTGATTTTGATTGCCACCAAATCCAGAAACAAGATTGGCATCAATCGCTAATCCTGAAAATTCTGTGCTTTTACATGAGTCCATCTTCCTGTGCTTCAGAGAACCAGATTGGCAAACTAAGCCTAGGTGGTCCTGTCCCCAGCAACAAACTGCAGCCGGATCACCCTCCAGAGCTGCTACAAGAGTATTAAGCTCCTCCATGCTATATCGAAACAATGTAATTTTCCTGTCCATTCCGCATGAACAAAGAAGATTCATATGGTTTAAGCAAGCAAAGCGGTTAGGTGTGCACTGGCAACTGACAGCAGACAAGTGCAGATCATAAAAGCATGAAAAGCACTCTCGGTCATTGGAATCGTAATCCTTGTCCATCTTCTTACTTTTCAAAGGAACATTCGCCTCCCATGCATCACCCTCCATCTTAACTCTTGTCTGAAATAGTGAAAGAACACAATATAAAATATCAGGATGCAAATCCATTAAGAAGCAGATAGTAAGTTCCAATATTAGTAAGCTACTACCTTAATTGCACTTGTCAGGACTCCATTCTTTCCACATGTGTTCAGCCATCTGTATTCTCCTTTACCACTTTTGCAATTCAAAAGGTTCATCCAAAGTTGTCTGATAGCTTCTTTTGCAGCCTTCAATATTAACTTGTCATGTGATATTGATGTCTTGCGATGCTGATCTCTATAGAGCTCAACAGCACACTGTCCATGAGGCAGCCAATCCACAGGAGCGACATTTACTGCCTCCGCACAGTTGAAACCACAGTTGAATCCAGAATGGTATGCTCGTGGTAGTGTCAGAACGAACTCACCTGACTTCTGAACAGCACGGTAAACAGAAACTCCTTCTGATTTTAGAACAGATGGAGATAACTGTGTAACCTGCTCCAAAAAAATTCAGAATGAAAATGGATGAGATACATATGTTCTCTAGCACAGGAGGAGGAATTCTTCACATCACAGATAAATAATTGTAAAACATTGTTTACAGAAATCAGCAACAAACAAAACATCTCTAACAACTAATTGCCATCTCATAATGTAGCAATAGATCCTACAAATTATATGATCAATACCAGGTAATAATACCAAGTACGGCATTCATGACAAAAAGGAACAATGTACTGCTTTTAATGCTTAATAGCTTTAGTGGTAATTCAACTATGTTATGTCAGAACAAAATAAAGATGAACTTGGCAGTAAGTCACTACATAGCGATCTGCCAATTATATAACAGAAAAAAGTGGTTACCAGCTCATGAAGTAGGTCAGGCTGTTCTTCAAACAGTTTGGGTAAGTTTTTTCTCATAGATTCTTCCAGCTTTACTGCCTCACCACCGGGGACACCATACCAAACTTTTGGTTCACCAAAATGCATGTAATTCAGAGAATAAAGAAAATGGTCTTCCACATGCTGCAGCAAAGTAATATAAAAAGATAAACTAGAATGTGCTCCATGAACAACAATATCATAAATCATTTATGCACTTTTGTTCCAACCACGATATATATCAATGTAATCCAAAACGAACACTGAACACTCACACTATATAATTTTTTGCAGCGTCAATCCCAGTAGGATCTCTTTACTGAGTATGGAGATCCACATTTCATGAGAGAAATGGTGAAACAGATTAGCTAAGAATCTTACCCAGCAAAATGAAGAGAAGCACATTCCTACATAAAGCCATGGGACAACAACACCAGATATATCCTCATCTTCAAATGAGATAACAGAGCCAGGCAGCCGTGGCAGATTATTCAAGTTCCAACAACACACACCATGTGGATCTTGCTTATTTCCATCTGAAGAAGACAATTTAACAAAACCACTGCCAAAGGTTGCAGTGTCCAAATCAGCACCATAATCCACCTAGGCAAAGGAAGTTTGACATCGATAAGTAATAATTTGATAAAATACATAACAACATGATCTGCGTATTATCTACAGACATACCTCAACTTCATCACTAGGGCCTACGACTATCCGCCAATATTCTCCCTCGATTTCCTCCACTGATGGTTCCCATATTTTCATGTGGTTCTTAATTTCAGAAATAGAAATTTCATCACTCCCTTTCATTCCGAAATATTCCTGCTTGAACTCATCAGCATATTTCTGAAACTCCTCTAATGTGAAATCAGACCCAGATTGAAAGCCAAATTTCTCTTCGGAGTCCACACTTGAAGTAGGACATCTGTGTGTCATCCCAAACCTCAGTCTCTTTCTTCTCTTTCTTTTCCTCTGAACTCGAGGTTGTGTTCTTTTCTTTGTGGGCTCCCTGTTTTGAAGCTTGTCAACTTGTTGAACTCTAGTATTGAACTCTGTACATTTCCAGAAACTCTTCTCCTTCAGAGGACACGGAGGTTTCCAAGAAGATGGTGGAATAATACGACAAATTCCATATCTTTCTGCTTGCGGACGAATGCTAGCAATGTATCCGATTGCATCCTTAAATTCCTGTCAGAAAACAATATTATTCAAATGAAACTATACTGCTATTTCTTGTAATACTGCTCGAAATTAACAAATTCATAATAATTCTTGCAAGAAACATCAAGTTACCTAGTTTTTACATGTCCAACCTTGATAATTTTTAACATATTGGTGGACAAACATTAAAAGGTTCAACTACATGAGTTCTAAAGCAACAATGGAAAGAACAAAGGAGTACTATCTTATCAAGCATATCTCATTGCACAATTTTGAGCAGAGTCATATAGTCTACAAACCTCTTCAGTTGGAGTGAAAATGGGGGCATCATCAATTTCAGGTCTCTGTGATTCACCTGGATGCCACTTTCCACATGTCTACCCACAAAAAATGAAAGGGGGATAGCTAAGTTATATACATAATAATCAAAATATCTGAACAAATCAATTTGAATCTTCTCATCGTCTTACAGTTGTAGCTCCGTCAATGTACTCCATGAAACTTCTTGATGAGCAGTGATCCTGAAACAAATAAAAGTTAGCCATTCTAGTGTCAACTTTGTTGCATGAACATTCCACTAATCCACTTTGTTTCGAAAGTATCCAACACCCTCAACCTAAATTTTCAAAATAACTATGTTATGATGAATTTACCAGAAATATATAATTCTAGCTGTTTCCGTACATTATGATTTTGTTCAAATAATGTATCCCCAGTTTGCATTTGAGTTCAAAATTTGTTGAATCACCAATGGTATCATGACAAAAAAAATATGTGCAAGTGCAACCGAGCAGAATAGAAACAAAATATGAATCAATTCGATAGGTTCCTTTCAAAAAATTGAGAAACCAATAAAATCATTTTCCTTAAAAAATGATTTTTTCTCCCAAATCTTTCACGTCAAAGGAACCCATTGTTACTCAGTAATTATGCAACTTAATGGATGCATTCATATATCAACTGATTCAAATTATAGCAATTTAGAAACATGGAAATTTCCTCCCTTAAGGTCATATTATCTGATCTGCTGAAAAGTCCTCCCATCCTAATCTGCATCAAACACATTCCCATCTGCAGATCAACATATGATGGCTATGGATCTACTCAATCACCTAACAGTGCCATCCAATTTAGTCAGGATCCAGTACCAAACAATCAGCCTCACAAAATCCATGCACGGCAAGAAACAGCACGTGCAGCAACACATCTGCATCTCCTCAATGCAACCAGCACATAATACTACTACTCTAACCACACAAAAAAGGGTATCTTTGTATCTTGATACGCGGTCGCCCATAACGAACAGTTCTTGACCATATAAACAAGGAAGGAAACGGAGCAAGAATAGAATACACGGTACAAACAATGCCTGATCTGCGTGCATATGTGCAGGAGACCCTTACATGCGAGGCCACGGCCGTGGCGCTGGGCTCCGGCGAGGCCACCGCGCTTCCGCTGCCGCAGCGCATTCGCTTCTTCTCACCGTGCCGCGCAGGGTCGGCCTCCTCTGGGCAGGCGGAGGAGGAAACCATGGGCAAGATTTGGTGCGAAGAGGACGACCCTACCCGTGACGGAAAAGAAGACCTCGTGCAGTCGTGCTTGCTTTTACGGGAGGGAGGTAAACGACCACGTCGCACGTGCCGCGCAGGTGAGCCCCGGTGCGGTGTTCGGACTCGACTCGGATTGGCATAGGGCCGATGGCCATGGTAGACACCCGACCGAATGATCTGCTTTACACGGATCGTATATGGGCTAGCTGTAAAAAGAGAGTGGATCAGATCGGTTTTTTTTGGTTAGTAACTAGTTGAGTGTCCATGTTGCTATGGGTAAATATAGTTGAATCCTGTAACATACAATCACCATTGAATTGGACCAATATTCAGCATCAATCAATTTTTCATAAAATTTATATGTTCCAGGTCAACCAAGAAAAAAGAAAAACCACGATAGTCTTGAAACCTTGAGAAGCTTGGCTGATGTGGACCTGTTCATGTCCACCTGGCCCTTAGGCCCTCCACAATAAGTGATGCTAAAAAAAAAATGAGCCGCCACGTCAAGAAAAGGGCATCGAATCATACATAACTGCAGTTTTCTGTATATAAATAGCTGCAGTGGTTGTGTTTACATCCTGTTGCCTGATCAAAGCCGAAATAAATAACAAGATGCTGTAGGAATTATACAGAATAAATGATTATGCATCAGATCACAGCACTTTACACCATTCTTCTGATGGCACAAAGTTCAAGGGAAAATGTTAGCCGTTTCAGTTTACTTACACCATTCTTCTGATAGTGTCAAGTTCAAGCGAAAATAATATTAACTGTTTGCTATTTGTTTTGCTTCCTCATATACCAATTTAATCTAGGTTGCTTATAACTATTGGTATTGAATGAATTCTCATTTTGTCATCCTAACTTCAATAAAACTGAATTTAAATGAATTACCATTTCTATCCGTTTCATCTTTGCTGCCAGGGCTACAGCGCTATACTGAAACAACCTTGTCATTAGGTGACAGGTGCGGTAGATGTATGCTTTTCAATGTGTGGCCTTTCTTTCTATGCTGTGTTTTCCCACTATGGCCGTGCAAGCACACGAGTAATACAAAAAAGATAAATATGACGAAGGTACATCCCCTTGGGGTGGTCAGAGTTGAGTCCAAGGGACTTACTCTTTATTTGTGGCTTCAGCCGCAGCGATTAGGGGAAAAAAACTCTCATTTGCCTCACATCCAAAGCATAGATTTGTGGCCAGTTCATCTCATGGAGCGGCGGTGCCGCTGTGTATGGGTGGAGTAGAGGTTCGGGAGTTTTCTCGATCTACGTAGAAGATCTTCTTCTTAAGCCGGAATACCCGAGGCTGTCTAGCCACCGCGGATCGAGTTTTTTATGAAGAGTAAAGAGTATAGATTTTGACAATTACCAAGGAAGTGAAGCATTTTTCCCCACGGGAATCATAGGGTTTTTCCAACATTTTCTTCAAGATGAGCAAATTGCTTCCTAAATTATGAGACAACGCTGCATAAACAGGCATCTTTGTCAACATAAGCACGGCCCTTTTTCTGTTCTTCCTATCAATATGGCGCGACGATAGGAATTTAAGGACCTGTTTGGTTGAGCTGTGGCTTTTGGAAAAGCTACTATAAGCTGTGGGCTGTGGAAAAGCAGCTGTAGGAAAAATAGAAGGCCGTTTGGTGGAGAGAAGCTGTTGCGACTTATAGTCGCTGTCGACGAAAAATAATGGTCGGCGATCCATAGATGGTTGAGGGTGCCGTGGTGGTAGATTATCGATGAGCAGTGCGTGTAATCGGGGAACGGAGATGGTGACACAAAAAGAGACAACGGTTTACGGAGTTAAGGCCGTTGTAGTGACGTAATACCCTAAATCCTGTGTCTTTGGTGTATTGTATTGAGATGTATATCTGATTAACTTTGTCCTCTAAGAGGACCATTGTCTCTCCTTATATATCAGAAGAGACAGGTTCTCAAGTAAAGTACCAATTTGGTACTAGGGTATTACGTGGATACTTGCAGACGGCCCTCGAACTCGCTCTAAATCGTTGTCTCGCTACTTTGTGTCACCATCTCGTTCTCGATTACACGCACCGCTCACCGATAATCTACCATCATCGCACCCCCTCGTGGATCGCCACCATATTTTCGTCGACAGTAGGGCGCGCAGTAGGGGTGTGCGTCTTTGATCTCATGGCGAACCAGATGGCATACCTCAAGATCAATGTCGTTCGCGACAACTCGTTCAGCTGCGACGGCATCCCGAGCTTACCTGGAGAGGCTCAACATTGACACGCGCTGTGGCGACACTGTGGCGCAACTCGATCGACGCCTCCTTCAACAACTTCTACACCAAAAATCCTATGAGAAGCAACGTCAACATGACTACCGCCTCGACTCCCTTCCGGCCATGGGTGGACCTCGACTCCGACCTCGTCTCCATCGTCACTCCGTGCTGCACGATAAGGGCTCCGCGCTCTCGCCATGTTCTCCGCCAATGACGCCGCAGACCACCCCGCGTCGCTTGTGGCCTGCTTGCACCACGCGCGGTGCTGGGCCAGGCTCCTGCGCGAAAAGCAAGCCGTCGAATATGGGCCACGGTGACGTCGACAATGCGTGCCAGATCCGATCTGAAATCAAGCACATGTTGACCGTAGAACAAGGCCTACGAACAAAGATCGATTTGCATGGAGTGCGTATGCATATATACAAGCATAGATGTAGATGCGGCCACAAGCAAAACAACCAAGACGTACAATCTACAGGACAAGCAGGCTACTCGTGCATGTGTGCATGCGTAACAAACAAAGCAATTTCCCTTGCTTGTCGCCGTATGTATATCTTCCTGATCGAACGTCGACGCCGCCAAGACCTGCAGCATCGGACTCGGGAGCTTTCGCCCATGCTTTGTTCCCACGTCGATGGCGCCTTGTCTCCACGAGACGGCGAGATCCGATCTAAAGCCCAAGTATCGTAATCAGAGCACAAGTCGGACTACAACGCCGTCTCCATCTCCAACACGGTAGTCAAGGTTTCGTCGATCAAGACTTTCCTCTTATTACGAGCAAACAGGAAGCAAGCAGGGACAAGGCATATATGGATATATGCATGCATCGTATATGGATATATGCATGCAAACGTCATGGCCATGCAAGCAATCAGGAGCTACACGTATTCATGTTCATGCATATACGTTGCATGCATATTCATGTTCATGCATATACGTTGACATCAAGATTACAAGTTGTACTAGATATTGTAATAGTACCAAATTGGATACTTTACTTGTAACCTTGTCTCTTTGGAGTATATAAGGAGAGACAAGGGTCCCCTAGAGGACAGGTTAATCTGTATACATCTCAATACAATACACCAAAGACACAGGACGTAGGGTATTACGTCGACCAGACGGCCTGAACCTGTCTAAATCGTTGTTTCTGCGCCTTGTGTCACCATCTGGTTTCTGATTACACGCACCGTCTACCGATAATCTACCACCACGGGCACCCCCCCTCGGTGGACTGTCGACCATATTTCGTCGACAGTCGCTTTTACGGTTTAACCTATTTACTCTTTACAAATTGAAAACTAACTTTACTACTATTTGTTGTCTCTTATGGCTTTACAGTTAGACCCTTTTCCTTTATTCAATTCATATGTACCGGTCCTGGTTGTCTCATCGACAAATTAGATCGAGAAAAATTGAACACGCAGGGACACGGCGGCACTTGAGCCTGCGGCCGGCCTTGGCCCGCTGCTCGGTGGCAGGGCCGCCCTCCGGTCTTGGCCACCTCGCCATGCTGGTACTGCGCCCACGGTAACCGTGAGGCCCGCCTACGACGGTGTCGCTCGCCCGTGCTCGGTGTTCTCTATGCTCGGCGACCCATGGCTCTACTGGTGCACTCGCGAGGGGAGGGAGTGGGTCGCCGGTGAGGGGAGGAGAGGGTGGCCGAACTAGCTGAGGAAGGGGCCGCAGCATCGGAGCCTGTAGGGGGTGTGCCACCTGGCCGCAGGGGACGTGCCGTCGGACCTCGCCATCGGAGCTACAGGGGACGCGCCGTCAGGACTGTTGCCGCTCGCCCGCCGCGCCACCAGACCTCGCCATCAGAGCTACAGGGGCTGCGCTGCCGGGACCAATGCCGCTCGCCCACCGCGCCGCCGGGACCGCAGGTGCCGCTCCATCGGTGGTGTGAATAGAAACAAACAAAATAACAATTCGCTTCATAACCAGTGGCAGGTGGGTAATTTTTTTACCCCAAAAGCAGCTGAAAGCAGTGGTGAAGGTGCTTTCAATTTTATACTAGAGCAAAAGCAGCTTTTGGCCTAAAGGAGCAGTGGCTTTAGAACCCTTTGGTTGGCTTTTGCAAAAGCAAAAGCAGGTTAGAAAGTCCAACCAAACGGGCCTTAGTCTGCACCATGTAAGGCATTGTCGGTGTTTCAAACAACCGACTAGTAAATTTGTATATTGCATGTCTGACCGTGATAGTGTGCTAAGAGGACACAAGGATTATACTGGTTCGGGCCAAATGTCCCTACGTCCAGTTTCGGGCTGCTCGTGTTACCAGCACTGAGTTTATAGTAGGGGTTACAAACTGGCGAGAGAGGGAGGAGCTCCCAAGTCTCTGTGGTTCGATTGCTCGATGCTTCTACTGTTCGATCTATCGGTCAATTGATCTCTCCCTAAACGGTGCCCTACCTTCCCTTTTATAGAAAGGGGAGAGAATAAGATACCAGAGTCCGAGAGAAGGGAAGATGGAAAAAAGAAAGAGAAATAAGGCTCCCGGGGGTGTGCCATCCTCCTCTTCGCGTGGGTCCCACTGACCCTATAGATCGTGGTGGCAGCAGCGTCGCACAAGGGTCCTGTTGGCTGTTGCAGCATACGTGCGGGCGTCGTGCGCCGTTCTTGTCTTCCATCACATTAGAGCGGACAGAATGGTCAAAGGGTCCCCTGACAGAGGCCATACGGGGGGCTAGCGGTATAGTGCCAGTCAACTAACGCCGATAGACTTACGTTGGACGGTG